GGGGCCCCCCCCTCCTCCCCCCCGTGGGTTCAACTCCCCCCTCGGACGCCTCTGGGACTCTCGAGCATCTCTTATGGCATCCACTTTGGCTTAACTCCTCCGGGATACCGTGCAACAGATTCAACAAGCTCACAGGTTCGTGAACACATCGGATGCATCGAACAGTGTGGCAAAGTCCAGCCACGCTTCCTTAATTATCGGGGACTTCAATTCTAAGGTTGGCTGTGTCATTGCTGTTTGTGTGTCTTACATGTTCACAACGTTTTACCTCATGAGCATTTGCCTCACTCCGCTTGATGTCCCACCAGTCCGGATGCACCCCTGCTAGCTTTCGTCACCTACCCTCGGCCTCAAGTTTAAGGTCCAGCTTTTGGAGCACCTATGCAATTAACACCCTTTTGCCTGCATCAGCCTATGCAACCACTATAAAAACCACCTAGCTATCACGGCTTAGATCTGTCTACACATTCGATAATGTGTATCAATGTATCAGAACAGCTCCACCAAATCACTTGTTGGGACTTGGTTCTGATAAATACACAACAAGCCACTGCCGTATTTGGATCCTTGCACTCATTTTACATCAACACACATTTCTTCTGTAGATCAAGATATATACCCAACCGCTGTCGGTGGATTCTCCTGATCTCAGGTGCAGTTCCGTCTCACGCGTGGACTCCGTCGCAGAGTTTCGGGACTTTGTGCGTCGCACCGGCGGTGTTTCCGGCATCGCGCCATCCGTCGATGACGGTGAAGACATCGTGGCGGTGAGTGCGGTTGGTGGGCCCGCGCTGAAGAGGTAGTCCGACACACATCCTGTCAAAAACCAAGATTCAATCTTCCGATGTCCTTCTTTCAAGGCTTCAGAGTGATTCTCCAACATCTCACATGAGTCGCCCACGCCTTTGTTGAGTACTGAATATATTGAATACCTGAAAATAACTTCAGCCTGAATATACCTGAATACCTCACTGACCGATCCTCACAGCGGCTGTCGCTTGTGGACTTTGGATGGCGCGTCTACGGTCGGCCGGCCGCGCGGCGTCTGCAAGCCGCCAGGTCATGGCCGGCACTCGGAGGGAGAGATGTGCATCCTCACTGAAGGTGGGACGTTTAAAACATATATAATTTGGGTTCTTCCCAACTCCAGTTTTAAGGCAAAGGACATTACAATCACAGCTCTGCAACTCTGAACATGGGAAGTGAAGGCTTAGGAATACTTGCAAGTAGTTCCTGCATGGTGTTTGTGCTGCGGAGGCATCTCCAAGCTGCAGTTGACAAACTCCATCCCCGAGACCTTGAGCGAGGTTGGAAACGGCTCTCGAGTATCCAAGGTCCAGCAGTGGGTACATTATACATACAAGGTATAGTCCCGTTATGTCCCGTTATGTCCTGTTGCCGCATGTACAGATACCAGATAGCACAGATCATGAAGGTTTGTAGGCTGTAGTATGCCTTTGTTTTCTCTCTTGTAAGCTCATTTTTGTACTTTTTCTCGAACGGACAACCCTAATCCATTTGTTGTTTTGCACGGCTTTCCATCTCTCTCTCTCTCTGTGTCGAGTCTCCAAACGGTCGCAAGGTTCTTTCGCAGCGGAAGAAGCTCTCAGCCGTTGAAGCCCTCCTGAAGACGATTGAGCAAGGCGCACAGCACTGCTGTGCACTGCTACGGACTTCGCCCGATCTTCGACCTGACCAGGCGAGGATCCCTGGACAGGTGAACTCTTCTGGTGGCCGCCACTTGGGACCGAGTTCACATGATGTCAACAGTTGGAGTGTCCGAAGTCTAAAAAGTTAAGTTTCCCAAAAACATCTAGGAACCAAATGAATAGTGAATGGTGCGGGCGCTTCCTTGAAGAAGCTTGAGCTATCCTGCGTCCTAAGTAGTAGCATGTAGTAGCTACTTAAGCTATACTAGCTACCTCAACTCCTTACTTAATTACGTGAAGGCGCCTACTTAACTAAGTAGGGAGGGAGGGAGGGAGGGGGCTTGAAAAGAAACGCCAGACGACCTTTCCCAGCTTGCGGTGAACATCCCAAAATGTTTTTCTCATCTTGTGTCCGGAGGTGTCCGGCTGGGAGTTGAGTGAGCTCAGTTTTGGATAGTTTTAGCACCTTATCATCCCAATGAGTTTGGGGGTGGTTTCGAATGGTTTCGATGGTGGTGTTCATCCAGAGCTCCGACTTTTTCGCGGCAAAAGCAAAACGCCTCCTGGATCTTATGGCGAATTGGTCGTCTCCCGCGCGCTTCGGCGTATCGAATGCGCGCTTCGGCCGCTCTGAGGCCGGGTGAGACGCGACGCGAGGAGGTGTTGGGGGAAGATCTGCGCCGCTTGGTGCGGAGAGCGCGATCGAGTCGAGTTGTCCCAGGGATGCGAGCGGTCCGAGCGGGTACAGAAAGAATTTTCGATGCTCTTACTTTCTTTAAGGAGGCGCGGAGGCGCCTACTTAATTAAGTAAGGGAGAAAACAAGCTGCTAGCTACTAAGACGCTAGTGCCTATCGGACGCAGGATAGCTCACACTTCTTCAAGGAGCCCCGCCTGAGGGCGGGGGGAGCTTCCTTGAAGAAGCGCTCGCATTGATGATTTGGTTCCTAGATTTATACCAGGCCAGTGAACGGAACGCAGGAATGAGTGAGAACATTTGGGGCCTCGCCCTTCTTGTGATGGGGACGTCCAAAAGCCAAGAGGTAATAGGACGCTTGCCACATGTTGATGATCCGATAGTCCTTATCCTATTCAGTCGTTGTTCGAGCCAAAAGCACATTTGCTTGTTTCCAAGGCAGCAAGCTCTTAAGATATCGCCACTAAGCTGCAGAAGCATGGCTGATGTTTTCTTCACAGACGAGATTACTTGCGATGGCCAAGGTCTGACATGCACACCAGTCATGCGCAGGCTTACTTACAATGGTTTAATTAATGTACTCGTATATTGGCAATAACGTCGGACCGCATGGTCACTGGAAGCCTGAATATATATATATATATACATAACTCTACATATATATATACATTAATGAATGAATCGGGTGGTACACTTTGTTAAATCGGGTGGTACACTTTGTTACCTAATCGGGTGGCACACTTTGTTACCTTGGTTACTTGCCTCTAAGCTAAGGCAGACAGATACTATATTAGGTTCACGACAGGTTCGTCGATCTCCGTGTCTATGGAACGCTCACGAAGAAGCCTCCAGGATTGATTGATTCTGCTGCAGCTTGTTCCTAACTACAGCTAATTGAGACACTTCAGCATCGGCTCAGATGCACAATGCCTTACCAAAAGTGTGATATCATATCATATTTTCAATGCCAGGTGGCGCAGGATTTCTTCCTCCAGCATTGCCACACAGGATGGACATTATCCTTCCCCCCTGAGAGGATAGAATAGGTTACATGATGTTACATGCAAATTATTCCGCAAGTGTTCTGTTGCTTGTTGAATTCTCCGCCCAAGTTCCACCAAATGTTCAACCGAAGAGTCCCAAAATGTCCCAAAGAGTAGTATAGACAAAAAATATCAAAAAATCACATACTGTAATATGATACGTAAGCTGTTGTTTCCTTGTTTCCTCCCACCTTCCTTTCCACACAGGCCCCTTCGTCGAAACGTGCTACGCCGCAGAGCTCCGAAGCTCGCGGAGGCGCGGGCGTATTCCCGTGGGGCGGAGCGTGGGGCCCGGTGGACTCGGCCGTGCTCGGTGGACTCGGCAGAAGTGATGCTTGCAGTGACATTGAACATATTGAAGGTGAGGAGTGAGGACGCTACTAGGAGCTAAGGGCATCGCTACTAGGAGCAAGGACGCTACTAGGGGCTCCTGTCCTTACTACTAGGAACAAGGACGCTACTAGGAACATATTGAAGGTGAAGTGGAACAGATTTGCGACGTCCTGCCGCAGTGACTGGGCCCTTTTCTGACCTTGCATCACGACCTTGCATCATGCACATTGATGAATGTCACAGAACGTTGCACCAATCAGAAATTGCCAGCTCTACAATGCAGAAAAAACATGTTGCAAAAATCTCCATAGGGATTAGGGATGGTGAGAGAACACTCTACCCACCCAGCAGACAGATGTTGGGCCCACTTTTGATCTACATCCACATTGAACATCCACATCGACAGATGTTTTTGATGTTCCCGACACACTGAACTGAGCTCCTTTGAGCTCCCTGGGCCAGAAAGCCATGCTGGGAAGGGCCGTGTGCGTGATGCTGTTGCCTTCCCTGGAGGCTGCCTGGGTCAGAGGTTCCATCGAGGTTCCAGCTGGTGGAACTGTATTTCTCTCCAAATTCTGCTTTGATGCGAAAGAAGGTGCGAATGTACAGCACCCGGTGGGCAAGCTGCAGGCCACTTTGCACTCATCAAACCCAGGGGATGGATTCATGAAATTTGTCTTGTTCGATGATCAAGCGTCTTCCTATCCCGACAGCTCAGCCTTTTGGGGTTTTGGCTGCGACTCGAAGAGGCTGAAAGCAGCAGCTCGCTGGACTGATGAGATCAATGTCACCTCTTTGATTTCGGGGAAGGCACCAAAGGCTGAAATCTATGAGACCATCAGGCCACGCTGGTGGTATGCTGCACTGGTGGACTGCTCTGGCAGCTCCAGAACGGTGGACTACACAGTGCATATGATCAACTTGCATCTGGGTTTTCTTGAAGAATTCTCAATGGATCGCGTTGGACTGAATGGCATGTACTTCTTCATGGCATTGTATGGATGTCTTGCAGCTTCTCAGCTTGTGGCCATGTTGAAGAGGAGCACAAGCGCGAAGACACAGCACCCGATTCGACTTCTGCTCAGTGCCTGTGTTGCAGCAGGAATGATCGGCACGTTGGCTAGCTTGCTGAATGCGCTGTATTACGCTTACCACGGTGAAGACCAAGCCAACCTGTATATGGCCGCCAAGCTGTTGAAAGCCGGATCCAAATATATGTTGCTGACCATCTCGCTGCTCCTGTCACGTGGTCGATGTATTTCTGTGCCACTTTATGGCCGAGACTTGTGGCAAGCCTGCCGCATTCTGTGCCCACTCTATGTGGCAACGATTTGTTTAGAGGTTTGGGGCGAATACTCCCAGTCCCGCAACTACACCACAGATTTGGTCTACTATACTCCCATGGGTCTCATCATCATGTGCATAGATTTCGCCTTGTTTGCCTTCTACTTGAGAAACTTGTGCAACTCCTTGCGGTCAGAGACAGATGCGATCCGACAGGGCTTTTACAAGTTTTGGGGGTTGATCTACTCTGGAGCCTTCCTGTACCTGCCAATCTCCATTGTCATCGCCCAGAGCGTTGCTGCATGGGTGCGTTCAGAGGTCATCTTTTTTGTGTCGAATGCAACGCATTGTGCTTTCTTGGCCTTACTGATTCTGGGACTTTGGCCTGACTACGCCCAGCCCTTCTTTTGTATAGATCATCCATCAGCTTTGGCTCAGACCTTCGGGGTCAAGACAGAATTGCTTGATGACGAGGAGGTTTGGCAGCCGCCAAGCCTAGGCGGTGATGTCGAGTTGCGAACGACGGGCTGAATCCTTCAAGCTATTTGCAGGAAGTGGGGAGAAAGAAAAGCTGCAGCACACGGTTGACAAAGCAATAAGAGACAAGGAAGATTTGGTGAAACACCGTGCCACCATGCTACGAATTTCTTTGCCCAACCCACATGCTAAGACATACCCACGTGCCACAGGGTGGCTTGAATGCCGAGGCTTCCGATAAAGTAGAAATCACGCTTAGCTTATTCATTTCGTCAAACATATAGAAACCTCCAAGAACCTGGGAATGGGGGCCCCATTTTGGCAACTGTTTTAGCATGTAAAATCAGCGTTTCCTCAGCTGCGACATGTCAGGGGGCCGCATCCTCGAAGCTGTGAGCAGACTGACACCTTGACGAGCCTGGATGTGAAGGAGAGAAGCGACGGTCCGTTGCTGGAGAAGAATCCAGAGGGAAGAATTTAAAGATGAGACCACAAGGAAACAGCCTTTCTCACAGCCAGTTTTTCTTGGACCTAGACATATTCGCGTGCAAGGTTGATGTTTTTTTTGGAACTGTTGTCCTTTGTGAGCCACGAGCACCCAGGTTGCGTTGTACCAGGAGTAGGGCCAATACAGTCGATTCAGTCTCCTGATTGATGCATAACCAATGATTTGTCACCTCAGTCATGTGCTGGTCATCCTTGACGGGGCACGAGGACCTGGTGACCTCGCATGGATCCGTCCCTCTGTGGGACCGAGGACATGGCTTCCTTGGAAGCAGTGGTGCGGGCATCGGCCTGCACGTCGACCAGGCAGAAGCCGGCGGAAGCCGACGGACGCCGGCGGACGCGTGGTCTGCACCTGTTGAAGCGAAGCCCATGTTGATTGAAGCAGGATAATTTCTGCTAGTGGCTTGCACATTCTCTGAGTCTTGATGATGGAGATGAATAGTGTTGAACCATGTTGAACCAATTCCTGTGTGTGGACCTCGTAGACGTGAGAGTTGCTGGTTTCTCCGCCTGACCTGCTTGGTTCGTGTAGGTTCGTGCGTCCTTTGCATTGCCGATGGTCGGAAGGCTTGGTGGAGCAACATCGCAAAGAACTTCTATGGGTACAAACTGGTGGCACTCTGGGCTCCAGGCAGGGGGATGAGGATGAGGTGACGATACTAACATTGGGCAATCCAGGGTGCACTCTTGCTCTTTTGTTGCAGTCATTCTTGTTATATAGATTTACGTGGTGTCATTTGTCAGGAACTTGTCTCAAGAGTTCTTTTGTCAATGTGTGCATAGAGCCATACAGAGCCTTTCGTTTGTTACAAGACTGTGGACGTCTCAAGCTATGCTTGGGCTATCTTGGGCTCATTCAAGCCAATCGAGCTCTCACTTCTTGTCCAAGTGCTTCAAGACATGTTGGAGGCTCCAACGTGTTGGAGACGTGTGGTGGAGAACTCTTCAGAAGCTTACTTGCATGATCCACCCCAGCCCCACCAACTGATGAGCAGATTGATTCACGAGGACTGGAGGTTTGCAGGAGATTTGGAGCGACATTGACCGAGCAATCTAAGGAAAGCCTTTGTGTACTGCACTCGGTGGGAAGATGTGGGGTCAGACGGATTGCTCGGTAGGGAAGATGGTGGGAATCAATGGGACTCACTTTGAAAAGAAGAATAAGAATCTTTTACTGTCTGTACCTTGTGTCGATGTTGATCTTGTTGCTCCACACCAGGGGCAAATGGATTAGATTTCCCCTCCTATAGGTACCCGTACTATTCAAATAAGGAGACCTCCCAGTTCGACCCTCTAAAGAAAGGGAGAACAATCAGAGCTTTGTGCTGCCCTTGCAGGCGCATGTCTCAAGCATCTACACTTCCCAATCAGTCTCCGCAAGAGAAAGAGGATAGGACTTCCTCTTTGTGGCAAGTTGGAGCCCAATATGAGGCACAGTTCAAACACAGCAGAGTAGCACAGCAGGGGCTCCTGGCCATACTACTAGGAGTAAAGGACGCTACGAACGGGGCTCCTGGGCACAGGCCCGAGAGATGTCCCACCCAGGCCATCGACACCTGAGCGCCCTAGATCGCTGCTGTGCGGTGGCGCTCCTTCGACCAGGGGATGTGGCCTGCTTCACTGGAGGTGAGGGCCTTCACTGATGGCTGACCGGAGATTGGTACGGCTTATTTGATCTTATTTGTTTATTTCATATGATTTCATGGTACTTCCAATGGGCACACATGTATAGCTATGCCTATAATACCCTGACATAGTCATTGTATATATATATACTGTATATATTCAGCAGCAAGTGATTAACCTTTTTCAAAGGCTCCAAGCTCGCGAGGCTTGCCCCACACGACCTTGGTGGTGGGATCAGAACTCAATCTCACTTTCTATGAGTGCCTTGGAGAGGGAAATGGATTGGCGTTGATAATCCAAGAGGATCAACGCTTCTTGTCCTCCCGTTTGCATTGATCCTTGGAAATTCTTTTGGAGATGTTGACTGTGATGCCTGAAAGTAGTTGACTGCATGCCATGGCGCAGTGGTGTGGTGATGTCAGATGGTGCTCATGCTATCGGACGGGGAGAACCAATAGACGCTTCTTTGTCCTCAAGGATGACTCTTAGCCAGCGAGCATGCTAACCATAGCCCACGGAGCATAGTTTTGCAAATCAGAGTTCTGAGCATGGGCACTTTCCCACAGATTTCCCGCCACATTCTGGTACAAGTGCTGGAAAATAGAGAAGATTGCATAGGCGAGTTGAGGTCATTTTCAACTGATGTGTGCTATTCGCAGGCTGTTTGTAAGCAACTTTTGCTTGAATGCACCAAGGAGTTTCGTGAACTGGAATTGCAGGGGCCTTAATGTGCTCGTTAGACGAAGGGGATGCATTCCAAGGCCAAAAACATGCAAAAAACTATTGTGTTCAGTACATTGAGATGCCAGCATTTCGAAGCACGCTCCGCAGATGCGGAGTCCATCAGTCTGTCAACCACCTTTTCGCTGCCCTGAATATTTCATGCGGGTCTTGTAGGCCGACTGCTGAGGTGACAATCTTGCTTTGCTTCTTTCAGGACTCCAAAGACCCATCGACCAAGCTTGGTGGCAGAGACTTGGTGACGAAGACGTTAGCGAAGTGAGCGAAGCGAGAGTCATGCACCTGGTGGTAGCCTTTCAAGCTTTCTTTTCTGGCTCATTTAGTTTGGCTGACCACCCAGCTTGCGGGCATGATTTGTGTTTTCCATGTCGTTAGCGTTTTCACAACAACAAACCGGTGTTGCTGCGCTGCGTTTCTGGAGCGGTGTGCCTTTGTTGATTCACCTGAGTCTTTTTGGTCATGTCATGTTGCATCGAACATGCTCTTGACCTAAAAAGCCCGAACAAAGAGGGCATTTTTGTGTGTCTTGTTCAACTGTCTCAATTGCTTTTTTTGTTCAATGTGATAATATGCATCTAACATGTGGTGCTTTGACCGAGATCGCCGCCCTGTAAATCCCTGTGAAAACTACACTCGGGAAGATTAACATGGAACCTGAAAACCACTGGGTTGTAGAGGAAAATAGTCTTCCAAAGGTCCATTTTCAGGTTCCATCATGTTAGTTTTCGGGAGTGTACTTAGTTGGGACTATCATTGCCCTTGTCGTTGATATTTTCTTATATTTTAAAATTTTACTTGTATTTTGTTTACAGCTACAGTATATATATAATGTTCGACGATGAACTATATAGGAATGGCGAACGTACAGGAAGTGGTGGGCTGAGACAAAGCATATACAGTAACTTAGGATAACTTATGCAAATTCTCCCACCCAGTAGCAGTCCAAGAACAATCATCACTAGATTAGTAAAGGCGCCTAGTCAAGCGGATAAGCTCACCGTTACCAGGTGTGGTGATATCCCAAACACATCCAAACACAACTTAGGTGATGATCAGATATTATCAACAGATGAAGCATATGAGTCATATGAGGAGTATGTTGTGTGCAAGGAAAGGATCAATATTACGGAGAACTAATGACGTGCAAAGAAGCTGAGCTGGTGGAGGGTGTTGGCCAGGATGTTAAGGCTTTTCAAAACATCTCAGTTAAGTCAACACCGGCCCATCTGCTTCGTTCGCGGATGATCGGCTATGATACTGCAAGCAGGAGACTAGAGGTGGTCATTGTTTGACAACCACTCACTCAAAAACCTTGCAAACTCTGCAGCTGAAGGAACAATATGTCTCCCGAGTTTGCGCAGACCGCATCTTTACTGCAGTTTATCATCGTTGTTTCCGGTCATTTTGCCACCATGCATCTATGTTTATCCTGAGGTCCTGGATGATATCCTACGAGTGGTAGATGCAGGTCTGACTTACATAATCACCTCGTCGCTACTTACCCAGAGAATAACGAGCTTTTGTGTGGACATAGCCAGCCCCGGTCCCTTTGTGTCTTGCAGCACTCACTCAATTCAACCCCCTGAGAGTATCAGTCAAGCAGGAGTCAAACATATCATCAGTCATACCGAGTCATACCACATCACACATGGAGCTTTATGAATCCAACCAACCCCCTTTGCACCTGCTACGATCTGAACCATGCTCCCTGTCCACTGGTGATGTCCCGCAGGAGGCAAGTTGGAGGAATTCCAGGAACGATTTGTCTCATTCCTTCGTTCGAGGCTCGGAAGTGTAAAGGTAAACAAGTGGGACGAGTTGGGCTTGCATGGGCTTGCCCATTGAATTTGTTGGGCGTTTTCAGTTCGGCGCTTACTTAAAAGCACCATGGAGGCTTTGATCTGCCGCACAGTTTGCTTTGATCAATTGACCAGGCCCATCGCTGCTGCTAGACTGGCTGGCACGGGCACTGCAGTTCAGGGTTGATCAATTGATCCAAACGGTTGGCCAATACCCTAGAAAAAAATGCACCTCTGAGAACTAGACACTTTGAGGAGACTTCTGACAAGATTCTTTACATGGTCATGAGTATGTCATGAGTAAGACTGAACTTGAGAGACCGCACGGAGACAAGGCAGTGAGAGCTCTTTTGAGTTGTCCCCAAAAAAACATCAAAAGACCATTCATCATTTGTCCTGACAGCTTTGTTTTGCAAACCACACTGTATGTTTTTGCTTCTTTTGGTTCATCCCTGTCCTAGGCAAGGTTCGTCCAAGTGGAGAAGCCCCAATGAAAAGGCCATGGACGGGTCATATGTCGCACCGTTTGAGCATGCCCTTTTCGGATCCTCCCCCTACAGTGCAAACGGAGTTTCACGATGTTCCATGTGGGGAGAGGGAAGGGAGGTCCAATTCTGATTCCGGGTCTCAGATGATGGAGCCAGATTTGCTGGGTTTCTGACCAGGATAACTTTTTGGGAATACTTCCACCCCGGAGAACTGATCTTCTTAACAAGGTTTCTCAGTCTGCAGAGTTCAGGGAACAACCTGAAGTCCTGAAGCGTGACTGGGTGACTTATATACCTCAGACTAGCTAGTTGCTTGGTTGCTGTAAAAGAGCACATGTTTGGGCCTCTCCGCCGGTTCATATCTCCTGGCATCCTGTTTGGGCCAACCCTGTTTGGATCTGTTTGAGACCCCCACATTGCCACTTTCAGCCCATTTCAACAAGACACCCAGTGTATTCCAGTGTTCATTTACTTTCTCTAAGTATGTGAGAGCACAGCTCATCTCCTTCCTTCACACTCGACCTTTGCGCATCACTTTGAAGGCGATGTCTCAGATCCTGAGAACGGGGCTGCGCAGAGCAGTGGCTCCATTGCAGCAATCTCAGCTGTGCTTTTTGGATTTGTTTTGGTCAGAAAAACATCAACTGTGTTCTATCACAACTGGTTAGTACAACTTTTTTGGGTTTGAGCTCCATGGAATTCCACTTCAGAAAGGGGAAAGCCTCCCATCGATATGGTCGCGGGTTTTTCCATGTTTTTCCCCATCGTGCCTCTGTACATGAGGCACTTACTATAGCCAGTGCAACCCATACTTTTTCGAAGGAGGCATGGCTGTTTTGCAGCCAGCCAGTGTTATGTTTTATCTTTCTAAATTCAGCAAGAACATGAGGGAAGCTGGACTGTTGTTCTAAGTATAAGAAAATGCACTGTCTCCACTTTCCCACTCGTTCGGGGTTCCACTTTGTTTGTGCAAACTGGCAGTCTTACTGTCTGTTTGTAGCCTTTGTTTCTAGATTCGCGCTTGTCATTTTTGAATTTCTCGAGCAACTCAGACACGTGATGCTTGTGTGGGGAAAACAGAATGTGTGCTGACCGGCTTTGCAGGTGAACAGCATTGCGCTGACCCGACTTAGTGGTGAAAGAGTTGATCATGGTGTGCAAGGTCGGTATCTCCTCTAGTTTCGAGGTGCAACACACACGCACACTCACGAAATCATTGGTTCTTTCTGAGGATAGACCGTATGCAGTTCGCTGGAAATGAGACGCAGGTCAAAAGAAAGGCTTCACCAGACAGAGAAAAACACCTTTTACTTTTGGACCTTAGTTCCATATCTTTGCTGAGAAGCACAGGCTCGTCATTGTGCCTTCTATACGAAGCATTAGGTTCAAGTTGGCAGATCTAACTTTTGAGGTTTCGCTTCGTAGCCATGGCGGACTCGAAAGTGAAGGACATGGGCCTGGCAGAGTTTGGCCGCAAGGAGCTGACATTGGCAGAGCATGAAATGCCAGGTCTCATGGCTGCTCGGAAGGAGTTTGGTCCTTCACAACCCTTCAAGGGATTGAACATCAATGGCTCTTTGCACATGACCATCCAGACAGGTGTGCTCATCGAGACCTTGGCCGCTTTGGGCGCCAAGGTGCGTTGGTGTTCTTGCAACATCTTCAGCACTCAGGATCATGCTGCCGCAGCCATCGCCAAGGCAGGCACTTCCACGGTCTTCGCATGGAAGGGAGAGACGCTGCCGGAGTACTGGTGGTGCACTGAGCAGATGATGACGGTGCCCGGAGCTGATGGTTGTGATCAGTTGGTGGATGATGGAGGTGATGCCACTCTCTTGGTGCACAAGGGCAAGGAGTTGGAGGAGAAGTTTGCCAAGGATGGCAGCTTGCCAGACCCAGCAAGCACCACCAACGCCGAGTTCAAGTGTGTCCTGCAGGTGTTGAGGGATTCGATCCAGGCAGACAAGACCAAGTACACCCGAATGGCTGCCAAGTGCAAGGGCGTCAGTGAGGAAACCACCACCGGTGTGCACCGCCTTCGTGAGATGGCGGCCAAGGGTGAGCTGCTCTTCCCGGCCATCAACGTGAACGATTGCGTGACCAAGTCGAAGTTTGACAACGTCTATGGCTGTCGCCACTCGCTGCCCGACAGCATCATGCGTGCCACAGATGTGATGATTGGTGGCAAGCGTGCCCTGGTGGCCGGCTACGGAGATGTTGGAAAGGGCTGTGCCTTTGCAATGCGAGGAGCTGGGGCTCGTGTGCTGATCACAGAGATTGATCCCATTTGCGCCTTGCAAGCATGCATGGAAGGTTTCCAGGTGGTGACCATTGAGGAAGTGGTGGGCGAGGTTGACATTTTTACATCTGCCACTGGCAATTTCAAGATCATCACCCTGGAGCATATGAAGAAGATGAAGAACAATGCCATTGTTTGCAACATTGGTCACTTTGACAATGAGATTGCCATGGAGGATTTGGAGAATTTCCCCGGCATCAAGGTTGAGAACATCAAGCCGCAGGTGGACCGCTTTGTCTTCCCTGATGGCCATGGTGTGATCGTCTTGGCATCTGGCCGCCTGGTGAACCTGGGATGCGCGACCGGCCACCCTTCCTTTGTGATGTCGTGCTCCTTCACCAACCAAGTCTTGGCTCAGCTTGATATTCTAGAGAATTGCACCAAGGCCAAGAAGTACAAGAATGATGTGTACCTGCTGCCCAAGAAGTTGGATGAGAAGGTGGCATCTCTGCACTTGCCATCCCTGGGAGCAAGCCTCACCAAGCTCTCCAAGGAGCAAGCTGAGTACATTGGCGTGAAGGTGGAGGGACCTTTTAAGATGGATCACTACCGCTACTAAATGACGTCGAGTCGCAGTGAGTGTGCCTGGATTGCAGTTCCAGTTGCAGCACGTAGTGGCATGTAGCAGCTGCCAGCCTTTTCTTGAGGTTTCCCTTTGCAGCAAAGCTTGCCCTTGGCGGAAAGCGTTTGGAAATTCTATTCGCGGATCCCAAGGGACCTGGGCTGCTGAGGAAGTCGACAACATTAAGTGCAGTGAGGAAAGAACTTGGCAGGCGCTTAAGCAGAGGCAGCTGTGAGCAGCTTTGATTTAGTCATTGCTCCTAAAGCCAATGAAAAACAACCTTAGATCTAGCGTTTGGAGTCAGACAAGGGCTTATCCGCCACAAGTTTCTCAAGCATTTGTGGTTGACACCCCGAACATAGAGGAATCGGTTCATTTGATCCGGGGTCAACCCCCTGGTTTTGACCCACAGTCTCCTTGATTCCGCCAGGACCTTCCAAGCAGACTCTGCTGCCACCAGCACATCCCAAGCAGACTACGCAAGCTGCCTTCCTGAAGGACACAAGCCAAAATGCAACATGACGAGCGCTTGATTTCATACTATACCAATCCTTACCATCCTTTCAACTTGACTTTGTTGAATCAATTCGTGAGTGGGGCTGGCTGGACAAAGTTTCAGTTGGAAGTACCGGTTTGGGGAGTCAGCTGGGAACAGTTAGGTTTTCTTCGCTTTGTTCAACGGCAATTTTCGTTATTTGTTGTCAATGTTGAAGATTCTTTGTCCTCGCGTGTTCATGCTGATAGCATTGTTGATGAGCATCCGTTGGAAGGAAGTCTGCTGAAGGGCAACCGCGCAGAATATTGGCAATCTATAACTCTCTATGCAGAGAGATCAGAGATTTCACAATGAGGGGACAGCTTTCAACTCGTGTGATGTCCTGTGAGACAGGGTCTCCTCATCAAATTGCAGGGTCTCCTCATCAAGTTCTGAGCAGCCAAGCTGATGAAATGAGCGAATGGTACTGCATTGGCTGTGTACTCAATGGCACGTTGACTTGTCGTTGTGCTTCCCTTGGGAGATACTGTAAGCGCCCTTAGGTTAGAGTCTAGAGGCTATCGCTATTAGGTTGGAGGCCATCGCTTCTAAGGGTGGAGGCCCATCGCTATTAGGTTCCTTTTGCAATTAGGATGGAGACTCAGACGTTCGTTGTGATGACTGAGGCATTAGTACAGCTGTCCGAGAAGGTCAGAGGAGGACGTCCATCGCAGAGATTGAGGAGCGTCGACCCACGGTGTTAATACGTCGCCTTTGCCGTCATGGAAAGGCCTCGATTTGCTTTGGTCATTAGAAGACGCACGCTTCTTTTGAGGCGTGCGCTCGGCAGACCGAAAGTAATCAATGTCACACTGAGACATGTGTTCCAGATACCCGCACCGGATGCAGGTTGCTGAACTGCACAGAAGCCGAACCGGACTCGGTTCGTTGCGGCAGGCGGTTCATCAGTCCGCAGCTCCTGCCAGAGGCTTTCCGCTGCAGTGGATACTGGACCATACTTGTCCCGATCCCTAAGCAGGATCAGCGATAACCCAGACTCTTCATTGGGTTGTCCGGTAATTCGTTGGGTTGTTTGCATGAGCTCAGCAATCACTGCTACTTGAAGAGGAGCTTGTTGGTGGGACACCCAAACTATATTGAGAATCATTCTTGGCGTGGGAAGGATCCAGCATTGAGGGTAGCGACCCACCTCCATCATTTGAGAATGTTTGCCAAAGGAAGTCCTTTCACTTTCCCTTTGTCCCTTTCACTTTCCGCAGGGTTAGGTCCGGTCCACAACTATCCAGTTTCATCTTGGGAAGTACATTGCGCTGCCTTTTTCATGCCAGGAGCAACACCTAAAAGTCCTGAGAGGACAGGTGCTGACATTGCTCGCACATCGTCAGTTGTGTCGTCAAAAGGCACACAAAAAATTGCATACTGGAGTAGTCTCGTAGTCATGTTCTTAGGCCCGACATTCCAGGGAATTGCTTTTCTGCTCGTATGTATAGTAGAATGTTGATCCGTTCCGTGAATGTTTCGTTTCAGAGTGGATTTAGCGTGTAACTTACCAGAGAGCTGCGTGTTCTGTCAATCGGTGTTTGACGGTCCACACTGCTCCCACCAATGCGATAAGTATAGACCGTGTCCTTTGTAAGCATTTTCAAGTGGTCCAACTTCTCAAGGATCCCGTTGAAAGCTGATCAATGTTGACTTGATTCACAGCATCTTGCGGATCGAATATGTAGAAACCGCAAAAAACTGGGAACTCTTTAGCTTGCCGAATGCTACTGCCAGCAGGGAAACATTTGATAGAAGATGGTGGGATTTTGACCTGTTTGGCAAGGATTTGTGCTGTGTATGGCTTGGTGTGTCTTCAATCAAGTTCAAAGCTTTCAAGAAGGATCAGCGAGGATGAGTTCCGGTTGCTGAAGTTCGACACGCTCAAGCTTGACAAATTGAAGGACGAAGGGGTGAAGGCTTCCAACAGCGTCCCAAATTGATCCGATGGCATTGGATCTAAGCTACCCTTGGCTTATGTTATATCAAGTCTCCCTAAACATCTAAGAACTAAATCATTCATGAAGCCTGACTTAACCCTGAGCCCCTCTGCCTCTAAGCCTGAGAAGCTACTCTGAATCGCCATACAATAAAAGAAGGTGACGGAAGCGACTGAAGCGACCCAGACGTGGATCGCCCAGGATGTAAGCAGCAAGGTCATGTCCTTGGTTGCACAAGGACGATTTTTGCTGTGTGGCATAAGCATTCGTGCGAATGAATTGAGACAGTGGCACAGTGCTTTTCTAGAGCTAGCCAGCTGCACTACCTGTAATATCCTGCGATTCACAGGACAGCCTGTCCTTACTTATTGTTCTTTTGTATTATGTTTGTTGGAGGAGTATCTCAGGCGTTGCAACCGCTCGGACAGACCAGCTTGGGGGTTGGAACACATAGTTGGCAGGAGCTCGAGCCGCTGCTCAGTCGGTTGCGACACTTGGCAGCACCAAATATGTCCTTAGGGCAGGTTTGTGGGAGGTGTGCTCCAATCCATTCCCAGCCCAAGTTTTTCACAGTTTTTCCTTGAAACTGTGTTCACTACTATGCTGAAGCCACCGGGCCACCAGTTTGCTTACAAAAGCATACAAATTCATCCCGCAAAGCGGTACGTCCACAGCTCAGCTTGGTGACCAAGCTGTTTACGCTGAGCAGTGGTACCTTCTGAGCCTTCTGAGTCGACCAACTCGGGCGCCGAAGAACGGTAAGCCAAGATGAGCCACGCATCTCACCTTGTTACTCGAAGCTTCTAGCCACTAGTAGTAATGCCCTTGTTACTAGTAGCATCTCACCATTTCTTTCGGTCCAAACAAATGCGTAAAGATAGTAAAGCGCGTCTCAGGCCCTCTGCGGTCCAAAAGGAGGCGGGGACTCCGGCTTTTGTGAGGTGAATCATGATGAATCACCAGTGTATGATAGTAGATGGTATCCCGACAGGGGTCTCCATACCAGACTACGCCTACAACGAAGATTTGCAAAGTCCCTACTACTTGGGTGAGAACCACCGGGCCTATCCAGGTCTCATCCGGACTTTTTCACCTGAAGAATAAGAATACCTGAACAACGCAGTGGGTGGGTGTAAATTGACAGTCATCCCAAAGTGTTCCAAAGTGAAGTTTTGACCTATCCAACTCTTACCCAAGCTGTGAACCAACCAAAATCACTTCCGGTCCCAATGCTTCCCCTTCTGGGTCCTTCTGGGTCGTCCCACTGCAAGAGTCGCTGCCCAATCTGCTTCCGGTGCCCACACTAATGTTAACCCTGTGCATGGTTTTGTGCATGATGGACTGACTGGGTGCTGCAAATTTGTATGCCATTTCCCACTAAAGCCTCAACAACCAAGAGGGTAGGTGTACCTACTCTAGCATGATCAAATGCCTCTGCAGGTGTATGTCCCGTACAGGCTAGCAGCATCTAGCAGCTAGCACCATAATCTTCTAGCACTAGCACCCTTCTACTGTACTGGCAGGCTTGTGGATTCATAGACTCGTTCGATTCAAGTTTCTCGTTCTTTCCACCCCTCTTCCTGCGTGCACCTGCCCACTCTGAGCCACCCGTTCAGGCGCTTTCGAAGACCCTCACGCCCGCAGCGCCGCCGAAGACCCCTCGGCGGTCGCCTTCGGCCTTGGGGGTGTTGGGACAGATGCGACAGGCGTGACCTGACCTGACAGTGGTTTTTTTTGTTTTTTTTTTTCCCGGTGCTGTTGGTTTTGCCAGTTAGAATAGACAGCACGTTTAAGCATGGACTTGAGACTTAGGACAACATGAGTTGTTCATGTGGTTTTCCCCGCGGTGGCCTACAAGTAACTTCTGGCCATGCCCCCTGTGTAGAGGAAACATGAGGGATCATAGAAACGGTTAAAATACCTGTCCAATCGGTCCAATCCCATCTCCTTTTCGAAAGCTAGACATTTGTACAATTCATGACAATTCCACGACCCGTTACTTTTCGCTGGTGTGATGTTGGTCACATGCAATATGGATGATTCATACACACAATACTAATGCTTACTAATTACTGGATAAGTGGTCGTGGTGTTTCAAGACTTCCAAGCGTGGCACCCGCTTCTCTCCAGCAGCATGGCCGTGACGATTCGGCAGGCGCCGATCTCTGCACTGCAGAGGCTGGGTTTGTCGTCAGACAGGGCTCGGTTTCTGTAAACCACAGATATTCATAGATATCCCCTTTTTCCTCTCAAGGGTAAATGCGCATCTCTATGTAGAATTCACATGGGGGAAGCTCGTTTGCTTTCTAGGAGCTGCTTCTTCAGCGTGCTTTCTATCTTGGTCGCACAAAGGCATACAAAGATAACAACAAAAGGCCTAACATGGGGGAATGCAAACAGGATGTACTGCAATATCCTGTAGTTATATTCTTTCCCGACCGCTGCTCTCTCCCTCAATCGCATCTCCATCATGGGCAGAGTTCTCCAGTCAAGGGGCGCAGGGCTCACAGTAAATACCATATATTTTCGTGGGTTCTTGGGCTTTAGTGTGGTTGATGATTTGGGAACCGTCGACGTCTAGTGGTTGTGAGTGATTGACTTTCATTGACTCTCCAGACTTGGAAGTTACCAGTTCAGATCGTGCGAGGCTTGTGGATTCATGTTGCTGCTACCAACACAAACGGACCATGTCTTCTGGCAAGTCGCGGGGGCGAACGACTTCTGTCTCTGAAGATGTGACACCAGGACTGACAACACCCACGCAGAAGCAGGCAGTACAAGGTGACTTGGCATGGCGCAGTACGGGTCAGAGCGCTCTGCGCCTGACGCGGGTCAGAGCGACGGGGTGTTGGTCTCCAAGCACGGAATGTGCGATGTGGGGCAAAACGGGAGACCGACATCAGCCCACGTGTAGAGGGCCTTTGTTTTCCTACAACATCCTGCAACTGAAAGAAAGAATCCTGCAACTGAAGCCTTGGTTTTCATGATCACGTACTTCCTATTGCCCACTTTGTTGAACTAGGAGCTCTGATGCCATGGCCCGAGCTGCAAGCAGCCAGCGCCAGCCGCAGAGGCACGCTGTGACTCCGTGATCGATTTCATGAACGTTTCGGGTAACTGTAGAGATTTGCCATCCGTTTGACCATCCAATTCCCAACAAAGCCATCTATCCACTTCCCACTCTGCCACGTGGATTTGAGAGCAGATCTTTCCGCTACTAAGTCAGTGCCCGGTTGTTTGGCGGAGTACAGATTCTGTGGATTTCAACCTTCAGTGGGTTGGAATTGTGCTGGGAAGAAAAATTGGGCTGTGCACGCTGCACTATGAGAAGTCTATTGGCAATACTAACGTTACCAGCACACAGTGGCCCCTTCACTGTTCAATTCGTTTGTCCTCCACGACTGCGGTCCGAAACGATCCGGATCCGCTCCGACCTCCGCCCAGGCTCGCTTCCAAGGCCGTGGCCTATGATGAGGCAGCGTGAGACCGAGCCAGACCGAGCCTGGATGGATACCGTCATCACAACGGTGCAGTCCGAGCCTAGTAGTCCGATCGCTCCTAGTAGCGATGCCCTTTGTTCCTAGTAGCTTATTTGTTGCTGCACTTGGGTTTCCACAGTCAGATGGACACCATCGATGGAAACACAACATCCAGATGATGCGGGCTCGCCCTTTGGCTCCCTCCCGCCACAGGCATCGGCCGAAAAGGAGCTGCAGCGTCAACGTGAGGCGTGGCAGCACTGGACTCGATGTTCATTGCAAGCAGCAAAGTTCTAAGATCTCTCCTTCCCAATATGCCTCAGGTATATTTATAATTAACTGCTTCCCTTTCCCACACTTTGCCCAAAAGGGTTTCCTTTCTTAATCAGGTGCAGGGCAGGGATGTTTGAGGTGAAATGGTGCAATGTTGTTGATTTCATCGGTGATGGTGTAATCTTAATGAATGAATCTCGTGAAAAGCATACTTTCCACCGATTGTTTTTGAGGAAGAGTAGCTCCTGAAGCACTTTGGTGTCGGCTTACACCTCAATTCTTAGAAATGGCAAAGATTCCCCTCTTCATGCATTTCCAGATTCCTTTCTGGACATGTGTTTTCTATCATTTTCTCTTGCTGTGATTGGTTTCCAAACGGCTCTTGCAGGAAGAAGAGCGGGAAGCTCATGCGAACATGGAGGACTATACCGACCCCATGGACTAAGAAAGGGGTGTTGCTGTTAGTGTTGACCATGTGCTGATACCCCAAATCCCTCCAGCGATTTGATCAAGCGCACCGAACAGCTCTGCGAACCTCCGGGCAACCCCGGACGCTCAACCAAACCGACCGTCCAGACGCTGCCTCGATGGCACGACCGGTCGGGCCGTGTGAGGACCTCATGGACGAAGTGCGCAATCGCAGGCGAGGTGACTTTGAAGTGGTAGGATCACGAAACGCTTTGCCTCAGCGTTTGAAGCAGATCCGCACATCCAGGAAAACATACACAAGTTGTGAAGTGGGGGAAGATGTTCAAGGATTACAACACATATTGAATTATCAGGTCCAACCAGTTGGTTCTTGAGCGTCCAAGGCGTCATTTCATCATAGAAATTCGTTTCAGAACAAGGCACATTTGCAATGATGTGTGCTGTAACCACCTTCGTGTCCACCACATACTACAGTAGTACTTATGCCTTATGCATCCTTATGCCCACTTCATAAACTTTGTGTTAGTTTCTATGTAAAATGAAGCACATTATGATTGATTGGCATCTAGACGACGTCTGACTTGGAGCTTGGGAATGCTGTTTGTCACTATCTGAAATGTTCAGAGATAAGAGTTGTGGGAAGCGATTCCAATCTGACCAAGTGTTTTAGTCGCTCTCCTGATGGAAGCAACATGTCAGGTCCTGGTGATAGCAGCTAGCTAGCACTGCTTGCATCCTGAGAAAGCTCCGAGATTTCGGTGTGGGTTCCTTGAAGCTATAATGCATGTTCTAAGCTGGAATGTCATGGAATGACCATTGTTAGACAATGTTGTGCGTCAAGATGGAGAAACAATCACTTCGTGAGTATCCACGTCACAATTATGATGTTTGATTCTTGCTTTAATCACTTCAGGCCTTTCAATTGCACTAAGGCCACCTGTCCTTTGCATGCAAAGACAAGTATATATTATATATAGTAATTACGATATGTTAATTACTGTATATTATATTTGGATATTATACAAACTTTCGTTCGGGAGGTGATCAATGAACCCAGACCATCCATGGTGCCGTCGCTGGAGAAAACATCGCAGTCCATCAGGTCTGGTTGAAAAACACCTATCCACACTGCAGGACATCAACGTCGCTCAGGTTTGTCACGAAAACAATCGTCTTGTGGTCACGAACAACAACGCACTCCGACCAACCATCCATTCTGTGGGGAAATACATCCTGTCCATGACCTTTGTTGGTCGAGAACATGGGTGAACTCAGATGAGCTCACTGGAGAAAAGCGTGCCCAGGAATATCTGGGAGCCACCTTTGAATAACCCACGCAAAGATAGAACATTGGAATTTGCTCCATCTTTTTGAGTCACTATAAGATCATTCTATACACTCAATTCCTTGACCTTGGCTGAAATAGCAAACAGCTGTACTGCTCTGCCCGTGAAACCGCTGAACTGAACCCCAACATGTCAACAATCCCTTAGACGAATACACATGGGCCTGAGCCATGGAACCCCCTCAAAGGGCCTGACCTGTTGGTCGAGTGTTGACATCAACGGCACGAACAGTGTTAAGTGTTAAGGCCACCAACGGGGTGCGACGTGAGGTGAACAACTAGGATCTCTCTTTTTTGGTCGGGTTAGGCCAATAAGGTGGGAGGAAGCTGTCGTAGCTTGAGTAGTACTAGATGGTATATAGATAGTATAGATAGATAGTAGATAGATGGTAGATAGTATATAGTAAGTTAGTAAGGACATCACCAACATGCCATATACAAGCAATAGCTTCTTGTTACTAGTAGCGTCCTTGTTACTACTAGTAAGGCACTTGTTACTAGAAGCGATGCACTTGTTCCTAGTAGCGTGGCACTTGTTACTAATAGCATGCGATGCTTCTTGTTTTCCCCAACAGCTGTAACTTGTCGTTCGTCCTTCGGCACGGCTCGGGGGGCCTGGTCGGACCGGTCGCGGCGTGCCGAACGGCTGAAGAGCTCGTGGAGTCCGGGTCGCTTCCTCCGGTTTTGAACAGATTTGAAGAGGTTTCGAGGAGGGGAGTATGCCCGTAATAACATAAAGCGGTGGTTGATCTTTTGGGTGGCAGGGTGGGACTTGAGCCTTTGTTCCTTTTCCATTTTAGCTCAAGTCCCATTGCTGAGCACCCGTCCCCCAAAGTTAGATGCGAAATGGACGGTTTGTTGCCTGATCGTGCAACACTTGACGCGTGGACGAGCGTCTGCGATGCGGCGCAATGGGGAGGCATGGACATTGGGTTGATCCGTTGTGTCACACGAAGGTTAGGAGACCAAGACCTGCAGTGGTTACACATATTGGCAGTGATCCCTGTCAGTGTTTGAAAGGGCACTCCAAGATGCCACCAGGGGTGCGAGAAAGTTGAACAAGGCTGAAAAGGCTCAGTAGAATTCAGTAGATATTGTCGGTCAGTGCCGTCCGGTGCAGCTGATACAACAGCGAGGGCTCCAACTTCAGTGGTCGATCCGAATCTTGGGAGCAGTGTCAAGTTGAAGCTCAAGATGAACCAAATCATGGATCAGGACTGCGACTTTGAAGTAGAGATGCCCAGGCAGTGTTCTCCAGAGGATGCGTGCAAAGTTTGTCATGGTGGAAGGGGGCAAGTGTTTGTTCCATATTCCCATATACTGTATGTTCTTTGGGTTTTCCATGGCTTTCCACCTTCCTGACAGATGTTGAAACGCTCCATGTGCATGCATTGTGCCATAGTGTGCCTCAAGGCTCAAGCGATGCAGAGCAGGTGCAGCAAACACGTAGATGGCTTATGGAACAGTTGTCGCATTTGTTGAGGACTTTTGTTCAGTAGAGGCAACCAGCGCTGAGCAACATTGTATATAGCTCGGATGTTAAGAGAAGCGGTACATTCAAACGTACGGTCGTAGATTTTGTCAAATCTGCGGCACTGAAGCCTTTTTGGCGACACAGGCAGGGCCGACAGTGCGCTACGCAGATTGAACCGTTTGCATAAAACGAAGGGACATCAAGCTGGCTTCCAGGGCCTTCCACGACCTTTGTTCAGTCATGGATAGGTGAGATGGTGCAAATCTTGAAGCCTGAAGAGGCTTTGTTTGATCTTGGAGATGGAAGTCTCGCGTTCGCGTGGAGACCAAAAGAGATTCGCATGCAGTGTGGGGCATGTGTCCTCCTTCTTTGAGAACTTTGAGATGCATCAAGGTGGGTTTGACGGTCCTGAAGATCACTGTTTAAGAATAATCGGAGCACATGGGAGCCTGGAGTAGGAACTTAGGAACTAGCCGCATAAAGAACCCACCAACATCATTGAACCTCCTGACATAGTGGAAAGCGAGCCGCGCGAATTTGATGAGTGTAAATGAGTTGATGACCTTCAGTCTAACAACTGACAACATGGAGCAATTCACGAAAGGTAGCTTGAGCTACCTGAGTTCTCCTTGCTTTAGCAAAAATGTATTACAATCAGGAGTTGGGATTGTGCATTGAGTTTGGTCCTGTAAGAGTTGATTCTGTTCGTCGGGGGGGGGGGGCCCCCCCCCTGGATCAAATCCTCCCTGCGCCGGTTCACGCCGTCATGGACTTCTACCAGGGTTACTTGTGATTGCCTGCTACCTTTCGTCGTTCACCCCCTCCTCTCTCAAGTCCATTTGGCCACACTCGAACAGATATGTGAGCAACGCTTTGTCACACTAAGACAATTGTATATATACACACAAGCACTGCACCTGTGTTTTTGAGTTCAGTCGTGTATAGTCTAGTGTCTAGTCATAGTCATCCTTCACTAGAAAGGACGACTTATACTACTAATCCAGTAGAAAGATAAACAAATGCTAAACTGACCCCACCTCACAACATGCTTTTCCTCATTTCAGCGACCTTAAGCCTGAGTCTTGAGTCCAATGTTGAACACAAATTTTCACCTAACTGCCTACCAAAATAGCCATCTCTTTGGACGATTTCTCCGGCCAACAAGTTTTTAGGCCAAGCGAGCTGCAGATTCTGCAGACGACTGGGCGGCTGCTTACAGGCTCCAGAGGCGGCGGAGTGGGTTATTGATGATTATTGACAATAGCTTTGTATCTAACACAGGCCAATGAAAAGAGATCACGACCCGTTGATGATTTTGAACAAGTCGATATAGTGGGATTACAAGAATATATATATATATGATATATATATATATATATGTATATACTGTGGCAAATCACTGGGGTCCGGGGTCCGGGGTCCTCTTGTTCTGAGGGGAGCTTTGTTGCCAAAAGCAAGAAACAAACTCACCTAGACGCACAGGATTTGGTGTTTGTTTCCTCGAAGGAGAAACTCGTTTCACTAGATGTTCCACAGATTGTCCTCTCAAATCGGACTTGGTCCCAAGCTTGAGGCGCTTCTAGATCTGGAGAAGAGGCGTCTAGCGGGGCCGTCGACTGCGATCCTTCACTGCGTCGAAACGTGTCAGGTGAAATGGGAGCAGCAAAGATGGGTCTGAACATTGACGATCCCTAGTCCCTTCAAACAAGGGGTTGGTCTACCTTTCACTTCATACCTCTCTAAGGGAAACAGCGACGTTCTGATGGGTGGCGCATGCCGGCACAGCTTTCGTGATGTCAGCCTAACAATTCCTTTGCTTGGAGAATTGTTGAGTCATTCTCACATCTTCAATTGCTAGGTAACTAGCCAGTCGGAAAGGCAATGGCCTGATAATTTGTGATGGCCCAATGATTTCCAACGGAACTCCGAGTTCCCCAAGTTCCCAGCTGCGGAACGCGCTTCCATCAGGCTCTCCACCGGACCTTGTCCATGCCAACATTTCCTAGCAGCGGTCGTCGACGGGGCCTCAGTGGTTTTTTACAACAAGTGCTGAGCGCATCATGGATCGTTTGAGGGACCATTCAGTGAAGTCAGTGAAGGCTGTTTATGTTTGTTTATGTTTGTTTCATGTTGTATTTTTTTTGGACATCCCAAGACTATTTTCGTTCTGGGATGGAACATGGGGGATTGCAGCATTCAAAATCATGTGAACTCGACATATATATATATATAGACACGTGAATCATACATGTATGATCGTTTGTTACTTCTCTGTGTTTGATTCACATGTTCTTGCTTCAAGGTCTTTGCCGTTACATCCCTTTACACACAAAATCAACAAAACAAGTGGAGGTGGTCATTTATCTCCTTCCCACAGGCATTTGTTGGGGGTCGATGATCTTGACAATCAGTAGTTGGGGAGGAAATAGAATAGCCGTTCCTACTGATGGACAACACCCCTCACCACAGGATTTCACAAGGGATGTTGTCGATGCGTATGAATCAATAGTGATTCGAGATGATTTGGGCAAATCCAGGTGTTTAGTTTGGTTGTTGAATTTTGTTTATTAACAATTTCTTGGCATGTGCCTGCTGCAGTTCTTTTTTTTCTGGCTGACCATTTGCTACTATTTGGTCACACCAATGGGGATGACGGGGTAACCATGGTGCCGATGAGCAACCTTCTTGAGGAAATGATGACCATCCTCAAGTTTAAACCATCGCACATTGTTTGAGTACAGGAGAACCCATGTGTCCCACATTTCCCAAGCCCAAATTCCTAAGCCTTTGAGTTCAACCCACAGCCAGCATCCATTTCTGCAGATGATAGGTGATACTCAGGGATTTGTTCTTCACATAGCCCCAAAACATCAACTCTAGCGCTGGCTTCTTGCAGGTCATGACTTTGCATTGCGGGAACGACTAGATGATCTCGAGGCATGTTTTCGACCTTGCAAGACAGTGATTGTTTAGGCCAAGAAGGGGACCGAGAGCAATCATGCAATGACATGACAATATCTTGACAATAACATGAACATCATTGATCACATTCATATCATCCTCGTGCGAGGCGAACAAGAGACCTGACAGAGCAAATCATACTGTAGTGGGCACATGAGAATGTGCTGGCTTCGAGGTGTGTGGTTTTATGAGCGTCTCATTTTCATGCACAGACTGGACATTCTTGCAGGTTTCCTCCGTTCCGAAGGACATGCTTTTGGAGACAGGTGCCCCCACTGGGCGTTTTTTGCAAACTTATTTTTGCATTGTTTTTGCACTGCTGGCATTGCAACAGCCTTTCGCCTACCTCTGAATCAAGATGAAGATGATTGACATTTGGCATTCATGAGTCAGAGAAGTGTGCCAGTCTAGATCCTTGGCAAAGTCACGATTTGCTGAAGGCATTTTTGTAATGCCTGCCACACTGTAGCTGCATCCTTGCCATAACGGAACGGCCAAATAATGTCGGCATCAGAAAGCCTGCCCGTTGTCTGGCAGAATTTGAAGATCGGCTGCGATGCTTGGAGTCACTGTTCAAGAAGGGCACGGCGCTGGACTTAGTTTGAGCACTGTAAGAACACTTCTTTGTTTTGCAAAGGAGTCACTGTAAGAACAGCACTGGTATGTCTCTTGAGCAATGAGCCAGAGCAAGCTCCATCAAGCATATGTTTGCGAATCACCATGTACACAAGCATATACAAGCTATCATCTTGCTAATTGTAAAGTGCTGGAAACGTTTCAACGGGTAATTTTGGATCGCATTTAGAGCTGCACCGCAGTTTTTGTTGACATATCCTATGGCCCATATCGTGGCGGCTGCATACTCTGGGCACATCGTGCAGGCTCCGTTCCTGTACACCTCTCCACCAAGCACTGGTGGGTCGATGCTCAGAGAGAGCGGACGGGTGAAGAAACGGGCCGGCAGGATTCGTCGGCAGGAAGTCGCTTTCGAGACACTGTGCCAATTTTTCGACTCGTGCCCCATCCTGGCAACAGACTTGTGCTGCTGCTTTTTGATGCTTTTTGAAGATGCAAGATGATGAAAGACACTCCTTTCATTGGCCAATGCATGACAATGCCAATAGCCTTTTGTGTACACTGGTCTGTTGGAGCCTCGACTGAGGCGTGCCACTGGCCGGCTGAGCACATCGCAAGGCACTGGTCGAGAAGTCGAGGTCTGTGAAGGTGGCCTTCGTTGAGCATGGAATAATCATTAATAATTTGATCTCCAAAAACGAGGCTCCAACTTTGGGGAACAAAACAGCTGAGTTTCTTCGCGAAAGCCTGACTATGTAACAGGAACTATCAGCATGACTCAGAGGGGGTCAGGCACTGTTCACTGTCCCACAAACTCCCACAGGACATGCCAGAAGTGTTGTTTCCTTATTCGTGCCAGGGAGATGTGTATCATTGGACCATGAGTGATCATGGGTGTGTTTTTTGCAAGTGACATTGACAGGAGAGATTAAGCTTCACCAGACATTTTGTCGAAGTCCTGCCATTCTTGGGTGTGCCCATTTTCCTATAGTTTTCACCTGTTCGTCGAGGCTCTCTAGCTTCGCGCTGCTCCACAGGCAGTACAGCATTTGGGGACTGACATGGACGGACCCATAGTGCCAATCGTCAACTCCTGGATGACAAGGTTTACACCGTTTACACCCCAGAACATTGACATGGAACGGACAAAGCCTGGGTTTTCAGTTTTCAGCGGAACATCGTTTGGGAAGCAATTTTCAATTTCCATGTGAATCCTTCCTGGGAGATCCTAGGATGTACAGCGACATGCGGAACATTGAATTCGTAGGTCCCGTTGCGAGGAGTGGCTTAGATGCTGTCTCCCATGATCCTCCGCATGCTTCGACGGGCACAGCTTCTTTGACGGGCACAGCTTTGCGCCCTCAAACTTGATTTCTTGCTTTCAATAGAGAACATAGAGCCTCATGATCGTTCTCCATGTGGCTGAACAAGTTTCAGCTCTTCAATTTGTCGTTTCCTCCACACTGCTTGAGGTGCGTGTCCTAGTCATTGTGTGTGTGTACCGAGTTAATAGAGTTGGGGTCATCGACTTCTCAAGCTATGAGGTTTCATTCATAGAGTTCTTGTGTGCAGTTACTGTGGCAGATTGATACGGACCACAATAGTCTATGGATGTCCATGGATGTCTTATATAATAAAGATTAATTTATAAGTGTGTCAAAGGCTGAAAGAGTCACTTTCATGATCCTGGTGGGTGGCACTCTTTGACCAAGTTGTCCTTTTGGCATGTCCTTCTGAGAAAAGTATGGACCGATGTCAGAGAACATGTGCAGGCCGGACGCTGAAAACACCTTCAGCCATGGCCTTCTGAGCACCAAAGCCCATGGCCCAAAGTGGAATGGCGGAAGATGTTTTAGCTAGGGGGAAATAACTATATATAGAAGGTATGTCAATATATGAAATACACCTATTAGAATGTATGAGACTAGGGAAACCCTCAAGACCTCTTGGAAAATCAAACACATACTAAATCCATTGGTTGGGATGCTCCCAAAGTAAAAATTATTGACATACAATTCCTAATTATCAAAGAGAAACCGATCGCCGGGAAATTGGTGTCATGATATGTCGCAAATCTGTGTGTCACTGCCTGTGATCAACACTCAATCGGCGGATCAACACCCGCACATCATCGCACATCTCCTGGGTACAGTTGAAAGGCCGTTCCCTTTTGTTCGTCTCGGAGGATCTGAAAGGCCAAAGCTCGCTCATCCAGTGCAACAGCTGCACGAAGCTCACCCCGTGGAAAACGGATGAAAAAGGCGTCGATCGAGCCAAGGGGCAGGTTAGAGGCCTCCGCTTGGCACAAGCGCAGGAGCCGTGGGGAATTTTTGGCCACTGAGACCTGGCAGTTGCTGTTCGCACACACACTGCTATTACACACATACACATACAGTAGCATCACATACTGTAGCTTCTGTTGATTCAAGTGCAAGGGCCTTTAGCCTGTATATAACCTTGGATACCTTGGAACCGCAGCTGCATTTTATCAAAGACATTCAAAGCCCTGCATACTATAGATGCAAGATGATAGAAGCCTGCAACACACCAGACAACACCCGCGCCGACACAATCAAGCAGACTGCCCCACAGTGAAACTGTCGCCAGCGCACATCATGATCAAAGCAAGGTTCAAAGTGTCAATGTCTCCTTGGAGGAGCTACGTTCACCCTTGTCACCTGGATACATCATGTTTTCAGTACTTGGGAATTTGGGAGCATCGCACACCATGGGCTTTTGTAGCCAGGGAGGTGGGCAGGACTCATTGGTGGACAGAGAGGAGTTTCACCTGAGAGGAGGAGGTGTTTACCCAAGATCCTACAGATGCTGTTGATTTCCATGTATGCCATGGCTGCGACGGCCACGCTTCATCAAAGGTCGGCAGAAACATGGGTTGAGAGATTGATGAACAGATGTCTTGGCGGCAAACGTCCCGGTTTTGACGAGTTTCAAACGTCCAGTGTTTTCCCAAGCAATTGACATGTCCTTTTAAGCCTGAAAACCATGGCACATGTGTGGATGTGTACGTTTGACTCAGGGTGGAAGTGCTTGGCTGATCAAATAGGGATTGATCAAGATCAAGTATATATTTCAGATTGAACATATAGCAATGGTTCACAACCATAGGCCATAGGCACCATTTTTGTGGGGCCACGCTAACCAATGGGATGAGGCCATGGTGACCATCGACAAGGAGCCAGGATCCTTGGCAGGAGACGGGGTCTCCCATCGTGTTCAACTGCCCCAGGGCCATGATGGGCCACAGGATTTGCCGGTCCTGAAATAGAGAACAAACAGCTCTAGACATCTCCAGACTCTGAACTTTTGATCTGATGTGGTCGCTCCTTTGCCCCAAGACGTTGGGATCGTTGTCCTGTTTTTGTTTCGTTGGAACGGGTACAGTTCCGCAGTTCCGCCCATCAGGAGCTTCAGCCTCCATCCAGGAGCGGAGAACCTCGTGGTTCGTGGTTGGAGCGGTTGGGACGTTCGTGGTTGCTTCGCTTGCGTCGCTCGGTTCGGCGTCGTCGAGAAACAACGAGGACATGGGCGTCTGGCTTTGTGTCGTGCCGAGAGAGTTGGCTCCGATGTTTGGCTCGTTCGGGTTGGGACCTTGTTCCTAGTAGCGTCCTTGCTCCTAGTAGCGATGCCCTAGGTATGTGAAGCATATAGGCTCGATTCAAGGCATCTAAGGGAGGACATGACAGCGGATTCCCACATAGGCACAACAGTTCTCCTTTAGTTCTCCTTGGGTTCAAAGCTATTGAGCTAGTGGTCCAACCAGTTCATGGATCGGACCAACTGACACAGCTTGGGCCAAGCCGCTACCAGCAGGTGGCTACTTGTAGGCCCCAGGACGAGATCCTTGATATACTGTAGATCTTAAGACGTGTGGAGAATCATTCCCTTGAGCCTATAGTATCAGTTGCATTAGGGGATCCGATCTCTGGGAAGTCTATGGTACGACATCGAGCAAACGCTTCAATGCATTCCCAGAGGGAGTAGCCAGCAAGAACAATTTCATGGCCCTTTCACTTGCAGGCTGCAGCCAGGAGCGGATCGGGCTGCTGTCGATTGCATTGCATGGAGTTTACCCACTGAATTCCAGTGAGAAGAAGTTATGAATGGATGTGAATGGACCTGGAAAATTCAAGGAGAGTCGAGTTTCTCTTAAGGGTATAAACAGACACCTGCACCATTTGGCTTCATTTGCAGATCTTTGGTTGTGCCTTAAGATTCAAAGATGAGGAAACTCCCAAAGACGTCGAGGCTGCCATCCAGTGACAAAAGGTAGATGACCCCAGAAGGGCACCGTGTATGTGTTTGTAGGCTGTGTTTGCATGTTCCTTCGCACCCAGAGAGGTCCATCCGTTCCATTGTGAAAAGCTCGGATCCTTCCCAGTGACCGGTCGGAACGTGCAACATGCGCCTGTCCACTCACCAGGGGGGTGGAGGTCACGGACGCAGGTGGCTCACACCGGTAACTTAATAAACGTTCATCTGCTGTCATTTGCCTTAAATTCAGATAGAAAAGACTCCCAAGCCTTGAGTCCTCAAGCCAATTTGACTTCAGGATATGCGAGTTTCTCTGCGCCCAGGAGTGCAGAACAAGATGACTTGCCGACTTTTGGCGCCCCGACCAAGGGAGCGAGGGTTCGAGGGCTGACGGATTGCGTGGGAATGTCGACAGGTTGTCCTAAAAGCCCGTTCAAGGACTTCAAGGGCATCGGGCCATGTTGGTGAGTGCATGGATGTTTGTTTCCGGGTGACCAAGGGCACTAAACAACGTTGATATTGTGGCCGTGAGTCTGAAGACTCAGACCGTGGCGTTTCCATTTGCGAATTGCGATGTCAAGTTTTGCATGACAGATCATAGATGGCGCTTGGAGAGAAACACCTCCCAGTTCTGTCCCATTCAGCTATGATTCGGGCAGCCTCCGAAGAAATCGTCATTAAGTTGGAACAGGATGAACTTTGTGGCGTGGTCGACAGCGGAACGATGGGGAAGAGAGTGAAGGTGTTTCTCGTAGATCAATGTGGATATCCAAGTTTGGCAACGGTGGGAGCCTGAGGCAAGAACTTGGTGAGTTGCAGGACGCCATGCCTTTGACACCACTAGTGGGTATACAAATACATACAGTAAAGACTTTGGAACCCTGTCTTCCTGGTGAAGTTGAACTAGCTCCCTTGGCATCATGCAAGGTGAAGAAGCTGGAAGAAGTTGAGGGACCATTTCAGTAGTTGTGACCTCCAGCTTTCCTTTGAAGGGAAGGGTATATAAATGGACAATGGTGCCACGATATTTTTCGAGGCGGTCATCTGCAGGGACCCTGCAAAGGCCAATTGTGATCCAGCCAATACCTCCTAGCTCCATACCCTGGTGCTACTACTATCTCCTCCAACCCATCGGAGCGGTCTCCCGCCTGAAGTTGCAGCAGCACCAAGGGACCCCCCCTGGCAAGTCGCTGGGAGCTGAGCGTGAAAGAACTGGAGTCACAGTTCAAAGCAACGATCACAAGGGAGTTCAACCATGTTTCTTGTGGTTGGACTGTACCACATGCCTTTTGAATCTATTTTCAGATTTGTTCTAAACATATCCTAAAATAATCATGCACTTTTTGCTCCACACTGCCAACTCTTCCTGCCTTTTGCATAGTAGCTCATCTTGGCCTATGACACCAGTATCCACGAACTGTCATGATCTACCATACCTTTTGCCTCCGTTGTCCAGCTTGCCAACTCCACAAAACTGCCAGTGCATTGTACTCTACATTTGATCAAGCGGCCTCAAAGAGGGCCTTGTACCTTACTCAAGCATAACAGGGCTGCTCCGACAATACTACAGTCCTCAAGGGTCACGCAGGTGGTTTCTTGGAAATCAACTTAAGATCCTGTGAGGCTAAAACGTGCTCAGTGGTTGCATGATTGCAGGCATTTGGCCAGGATCAGGTCAACAATGGCATTGCTGAATTGCTACAAGTTTTTATTCACAGGGTGCTTGACATAATCATCTTTTGAAATTCACATTTTGACCATATAGTAGGCCGTATACCCCAGCTGTAATTTCTGCATTTTACTGAGGCCGACAATGGCATGGCAGGAGAACACGGATGAGTCAGGCGAGGATTTGCTCAAAAGTGTTTTGTGACATCTTTCGTATGCCTTGAAGGCCCTTGAATTACTTATGTAGGGACTCTTAACAAGGGTTGAGAAGTGTTTCCACTGAATGCATGTATGTCGGACTCCCGGATCGGTGCACAGGTGGATCGACTCAGCGCGGAGTCCTGGGTTCACTCTGAGGCTGATCGTTTTTGGTGGTGTCCGGAGCGGACCTGGCTGGTTTCAATTTTGGAAGCCCGAAAGGGCATCGCTGCAACACTTTGGCCCTTTGGCAATGTGGAAGTGTTTTTGGCTCCTGCATTCCTCAATGTGCTTATATAGGATGATACATAGGACTTTGATGGACTTTGTATGACTTTTTTGTATTAGTTGGGGATGTTCCTCTGTCAAGGTGGACGCTGACAAGACTACCACAGAAGACCTGCTGTCAATTGGAGAGAGTTCTTTCGGCACCGAGAACATGGTTCCCCTAAGAGAATCAGATTGCCACGGCTGTGCTGCAGCAAGTTGATGGACGAGGTATGTTGTTTCTCTTTGGAAAGTGTTTGGAAATGCGTTCCGGGCATTCGATGTAGTAAAACAGTGTTAGACTGAGAATATGGCCTTCAAGAAAAGCTTGCCCAGCAATGCTCAGCATGTGTGCATCTGATTGCATACGTAGAAACGGGCAGCACTTTTTGTGTCCCAGTCCTGATGAACTTGGCCGAGGCCCGCAGTCTCGCCAGGTTGGGTGCTGAGAGTTTCATGGCATTTCATGGCCATGTGCGGGCGTGACATGGCTGGCCAACCACGTCTCCGGAATGATCACCCTAGGCTAGGATGGCTGGCAGGCTGGACGTACTGGATTATATATAATATATATACATTGTAATTGAATTTTGTATGATTTTGTATGTCTTATATCCCGTTATGTCCCTCCTGAATCTAGAACCGGAAAGATGTGCTTGGTTAGCTTTGATTCTTTAGTTTTGCCCTGAACTACTCGATGTTCAGCCGACAAGTACTAGGCTCGGACGGCATTGTGGCTGCCATCAAGAACCTCACAGCAGGCAATGCTCGTAGCCTGGGTGGGGCGAAACAAGACGCAACCGGTCTAGAAAATCCTGCAGAGTCTGACATAGAATGCACCCGTGCGCTGACAATGAACTGCAGCAAAACCTCTGCATTTAAGCGGCTTGCGAGGTTCACAAGCCGTTTCAACCATATGCGTTTCTTTGGTGGTTGCCTGGTTGACAGTTGAAGGATGGAGATGGTCTGCCAAAAAGACTGACACGAGCTTCGAACCGCTTGTCACTCATAAATTGTTTGCTTCTGCAGAAATGGTTTGTTCTCGGGGGTTTGTCCGCGCTTGCTTGAAGTCTGTATGAGTGGCCGTTGGTTGTCGTGCCGGTTCCAGAATCATGAGCTTGAATTGATTGCCTCGAAGTTTGTGCGTGTTTTGGACAAGCCATGCCCACGCAAGACTGTAGCTGCTCAGATATTCTAGGTGAGACGGTATCCCGGACTTCATGTTTAGCAAACGTAGACTAATTGAAGTCAAACAAATCAGTCGCCACGTGACAGGTAGACCGGCAGCGGCTGCCCAATCCTCAGCAGTCTGTCTCAACGCTTCTCAGAACTGGGTCAAAACTAGAGATTGTTTTCTTTTTTGACGAGGCCCGAGGCGACCTCAATAAGACCAAGAACAAATACTGCAACAATTAGATACTTGCTCCTTGTTTCTGCTCACAGTAACATGTGCCACCACATGAGGCTCGGAAATGAGTCTTGTTTTGATGATGAATTTGCTTGATCATGTTCGAAATCCTTTTTAGATCCAATGTTTGGAGGCGATAACGATCTAAAAAGGATCTAAACATATCATAACGTTTGGTGTTTTTGTTCGACCTCTGGGGACGCGATATTGATTCGGTATTCAGGTGCCTGACTCCTTGCGCGATGTGGGACACGACTCCTTGCACAGAGTTTCTTGATTTCTTGTCCCCAATGGTCGTAACAAGCCTTTTGTTTGAGAAACTGAGCTGTTGAGTTGTTCGTGTTGATGTGAGAAACCTGGACTGCGGCAGTTTGGTTCATCAATCTTTGTACCACCATGCGGATCCCATAGCTTCTGTCTTCATCTACCCAGACCTGTCTTTTATTTCTAAACGCACCAGTGGCACTTGGAAGAGGTCTTTCAAAGGCTTCCCCCAAAACTGGATTTGAGCTGATTCAACTGTTTGTTGAATATTCGCGAGCGGCCTGCTTCCCACAACCACGCCCCCCTTTGATAACTGCAGCAATTGACCTGCTGCAACGAAGGTTGGATTGGATGTGGTTGATAGAAAGAAAGAATGGAATATTCAAATTTAAAGGGTCGTCTCAAAGGGGGGAGACTTGCTGTAGACTCTTCCACACAAGTTGAGGGGGCTTCCAATCTTAAGGCACGCCCAGTTTACAGGCTATACGCCGTGACTAGCAGCAGTGCAGAGCCACTTCTTCAGGTAAAAATCCCGGGTTTGAGAGCAAGTTGTCACTGTGGCGGAGTGAGCACCTCAGCGGGTGAACGACTTTAGACATCTTTAGACCTTTGATGTGAAGCCCTTGAGCCCTGGCAAAGAAGGAACAAATCCCATCAGCCCTGGCGACCTTGTCCATGTAACAACATACATGTATCATTTATCAGAGCTTTTTTGCTAAGAACTGCCCGACTTGAGCGAGGTGCCACACAGTGAGGTGCTACGGTGGTGGAGTGAGGCTGGGCGAATCTCGCTCGAATTAAATTCTATTGAATTCTTGTTTCTAATAGCTTCTTGTTCCTAGTAGTAAGGCCAGAAGCCCCTAGTAGCGTCCTTGCTCCTAGTAGCGATGCCCTTTGCTCCTAGTTTGAACATGTTTGAACCCCCCTCCAATCCCCTTGAGACACGGCTTGTTGCAACTTGCGCTCATAGTGACGCTTGAACACATATTTGTGCAATGTTGTGCAATTATGTATTTATATGTATGTGTTATAATTTTGTAAATTTGATTAGATTTATTAATACTAATACTAGTGTGACTGCAGTGTGAGTGGGGGGATCAGTGCTCGAACCGTTCTTGAGTCGCTTAACAACTACAATAATTGTTGCGGAGGGGGGTTACCGACGAGAAGACTCGAGACCCCAGAAATGGGAAAGCCCTGGAAGTATGACGTTTCTTTTTCATGGAGGCACAACTGATTCAAAGCAATACCAGAATTTTGCAGGGTACATATCACTTAATCTTGGATAAGTATATACATTAGTACTTCATAGTACTATCAGTTCCTCCGTGCGGGCGCAGGTGTCCAATGAGATCCAACTCATCACAGAGGCAGTCACGCACCCAAATGAGACGGCTCCAATCCAAGCTGGATCAGTCTGGAGATGTTTAATTAGCATCAAGTTCCATTGTTGCTTCGCTTTCTGCTCCGTCCGTGGGAGCACCGTCTGAGACGTTCTTTCGGTGTAACCGAGACCACCGATGTGTCCACCTTCGCTCTCACCGTGTCCATCCGTGTCCGTCCACACCGTCGGGTGAGGTCGATGCCAAGCTAGACCTGTGGAGAGCTCGAATGACCGAGAAAGACCAGGTGGAGCGACCCAGTGGGGCGAGCGAGAGAAAGGCCCCGGTGCGTCAGACTTCGGCTGAGATGGCTTTGTTGACGGCCTATGGTAGAGTGTGGCAACTCAACAAAAGGCCTGACAGCAAGGTTTTGTTGTTTCTTCTACTGCCAGCCCATGTTGAGGCATATTGAGGTCACGTTTTCACCACCTGCGCAATACTACTGTATGGGAGATGCACTAATTCCATATATGATACATGACACACTTAGCACAGTATAGCCTCACGGCACTACATGCCGACTCGCCACTCACGAAGCAAGTTCTTTTTGAAGCTGATGTTGCTGCTGAAAGCAAAAAACGGAGTTGTCAGTGACAAGTTGTCAGGGCAGAACCTTGTGGTTGCGTCGACATCATTATCATCGATTGCGTCACATGGTCATCATTCTTGAAGCCATCATTATCATTATCTCTTCAAGAAGCAGATCTAGAAGTCACATATCATATGTGGAACTTTTCTGCCATACAGATTCCATGGGTTGATTCATTTTGCACTGCCAGGTCATTAAGCGGCTCTATGTGAAAGTGAAACAACTTTCAGAGTTTGGAAGCTTAGCAAGACATTGAGGCAAAGTGACTGGCTGGTAGATCACCCGTGTGCTCTAATACGATCATGTGCTATGGGACGTGTAACACTATGTGTATAGGCGTGTGTATCATAGCTGGGCTGGCATATATTATTTTGGCTGGTCCATTGAAACATGTTCGCCTGAGCTCATGGCCCTGCATGCCGGGCATGCGCCAACCCAAGGTCGGCCAAGAGCCCCATGCCAGCGGTGAGAATCTCGGACGTGCCAGCGGAAGATGAAATAGAAAGGCGTAGAAAGGCGTAGAGCTCGTTGATGATCATGGGATTATTGCATGATGGTATTTGTTTGGGATCGTGTTTGGCATCATCGTTCGGATCCTCACAGGCTCGGGTTGCATCTTTGAGATGTGGTTTGGGGGTTGCCTTGTCTGCTCCACCGTAGATCAAGTTTGATGCAGTGAGGTGACGCAGACAGGAACGCGAAGCCCTTTGAGGCAAGTCGTGGGCTGTGTTTGATGAGACGGTGAGATGAGATGATGAGGCGGTTTGCATCCAGCGGCGCCAGATAAGAGGTTGAGAATTTCAACGGCATAAGTTCCCTTATGTTCCCTTTGATTTGCTCTCCAGGTAAAACTGCAGGTGTTCGGCATAAACAAAGGCACAATCGGTCCCAGGTCTCTATCCGCCTTTGAGAATGATCGTGTAATGTATCCGCTGGCGTACTCGTCCGCTGGCGTGCCAAACTGACTCGTGGGTCTCATGATCTGTGTGGTTTTCTGTTGCTTTGAACTTAATAGCTTATTGTTACTAGTAGTAAGGCACTTGTTACTAGTAGTAAGGCACTTGTTACTAGTAGCTTTGAACTTAATCTGATTACAGCCATGATATTGAGGGGACAATGGACCTCCGAAGTGGCTGCAGCATAATATGCTGGAGCCGGACGCAGAAGATCTCGGCACAACCGTGTGCCTCCCCCACCGGCTCCACAAAGCATCTCTCTCTATATATATGTATATACAGTATATGATATATAGATTAGATTGCTTTATACAACGTGACAACGTGTGGATATGTATGGGATTGTATGTGTATTACAATGTATCAATATAGATTCAGATACAATACACGTTATATAAATACATTCAGAAGTGTTCAAGTCACCTCACACGAAGGTGACAGAGTTGAAGACCAGAATGGACCAGAAATCCGTGAACCACCTACTAGTAGCTTTCGTGTGCTTTAAAGTAGGGTGACCTCCGCAAAGGTCAAAACAAGTATCCTTTGGGCTTATCTGCCAGACAACCGAAGATGGGCCAAGCGGTTTAGTCTGTCATCCAGATGGATCTGGTTCATGGGTGTGAATGCGCCACAAAAAGCAGATGAGTGGGTAACTCAGACGTTCCGAGACGCCTAAGTTCCGACGCGCCTGTTTCGGATGACGCGTTCCTCATCTCACGAGCTGCCCCAACTTGATGCCTCAGGGCCGCCACGCGCAGCGGGCGCATCGCGCCAGCGCCGCTGAGCGAGAAACATGGGACGAGGATGAACCCGGTGACCAGGAATTTTGCTAACTGACTGTCACTGGCCAGTGCTAGTGATGACGACTAGATTGTATCTCCTACTGTTGATCTTTTGCCATCACGTCGGCTGGCTGGTTGTTGCCAGGTAGGTGGGGTCTCGACGCATTCCTCACCAGATTATGAGATTGGAATCGGTGGTGGAGCGAAGTGGCTGGCCGGACGAAGAGTTTGGCTGGCTGTCGCTCACCAGACAATCAGGATTTGCTTGAGATGATTCATTGATTCCTCTTAATTTAGTGCGTTTAGAGGGTGTCTTGCAAGGTCCTAGTGGTCTGAGAAATTGGATGTCGCCATCATATTTGAGGCCAATATTCCGGCCCTTTCGCTAAAGGATACCTAACGTGGAATGAGGGTACAATGTAGTACATAGCTTCATATAGCTTCTACAGTATGTCATGTCTGTTGTTTTGGGTTTCTGCGAGTAAATCAGTAAATCAGGCATGTGTCAGGGCATCCATGTCGGGGTCCACGCTTTGTTTCCTGGGGCTCCCAACAAATCGTCCTGGATATAGCCATGTAGAGCAACAAGAAGCTACTAGTAACAAGTGCATCGCTACTAGTAACAAGTGCCTTACTAGTAGTAACAAGTGCCTTACTAGTAGTAACAAGTGCCTTACTAGTAGTAACAAGTGCATCGCTACTAGTAACAAGTGCCTTACTAGTAGTAACAAGTGCCTTACTAGTAGTAACAAGAAGGTATAGAAAGACAGTGCCTTACCAGAGTTTGGACTAGTAGTACAAGTGCCTTACGAAACAAGTTTTCTCCTCAAACTTCCCGATCTTCGACTTGAGGTCTCCGTCCAATCATCCGCGGGCGCTCTTGGCAGCTCAGTCGGTTGATGGCCTACAGTCTGTTGGAGTCAGCTGCCTGGTGAAGCATGTACATCTTGTGCTCGGAGCTTCACAACATGCATTGCTGGGATTGAATTGCCTGATATGATCTTATATGATCTTGCCCGCGAAGACACTTTGCGCCTTTCGGACATGGGAGTTCACCAACCCTCATGAGTGGGGAGGACAAGCTAGGGCCCCTCCAACTCACATAATTGCTTTTGCATCCAGAAGAAGATCTGATCATCAGCTTCCCTGTAGCCGCCACAAAGGAGCGCTAGGCCCAGCTAGGCTGCCTGAAGTGAAGCTAGTCAGTTGCACCTGGTCGAAAGGATGGGTCTTGTCCCCGGAAAGGGTTCTCATAGTGATTTGGTCACCAATTCTGTAGAGGCTTTATATATTAATACTGTATATATATATATAGAGCGAGAGAGTCACCCTTTTCAGAACAGACCAATCAGATGAAGAATGATGACGATCTTCATAAACCTGGTGCACTCATCTTAGTATTTCCAGGTCCGATTGCGTCCAGACACACTGTGCTGCTCGAAGGGCCTCGGGACTGGCACACGGCCTTCTGGTCGCTCTGGGCTCGGGAGCCCCGTGGTCGGGTACTGGGAACAGACCATCGACACGATCAGCCCGCGTTGGATGTAGAGCCAATGTAGAGATCTCCCCATGTTGAATGTATAATATAACATAACATAACTATGACAATAAATATATATATATATATTGCAATATACATAGATATAGTAATATATATATATATATTCATTATACAAGACCAATATTTTGGTACTTCATGTATATATAAACCGTTCTAATTAGCTGGCACTTGCACGGCCTTTTGCGGTCCATAATTGTGTAAAGAATGGGGGTTGTGAGTTGCATGATCATGGTGATCGTGATTTTCTGTCGCTGCAGTTGTAAAGATTGAACAGAAGTCGACGCATAAAAGTCATAGCACAATCACATGTGTGTACTGTTGGGACAAGATATAGCATATACAGAGCATACAACATGCAGCTGAAGGTTGGTTTTCCTGAATAGGGAAAATGCTTTAGAGCATGTTTCCATTCATTTCTTTGTGCGGTTGATTGTTGTCGGTCTAGCAGGTCTCAAAACCGATGTGCAGACCATTTACCCAATAGGTGTTCAGCCACGGAGCGTAAATCTTCAATCAGTTGTCAAATTGCCGAAGAACCCTGATACATCCCCTTCAAACTTGCAATGGGCCCCTTTGGTTGCATTTGGATTGTAGTTTTGGATTTTGGTCCAAAAGATCACACAGAACCTTGGAACCCTGGAGTGTCAAGATTTGATGTTGCTTCGGGCCCGCTTTGACAAACGCAAAAGACTTGAGGTCCCTGAGCCCATCAGGCCGGCCACTGCTAGGCCAGCAGGGAACAGATGGCTCTGTGACAGAAGCTGACCATCCATTCCGACGCACCACCTGGGTGTGGGCGAAGACCATGGATTTACTAGAGGCCATACTTCAGGCAGACAAAAGTTTACGCTTGTTAGCATTCTTACAAAACAC